CTGTTATTAGATCATCTACATAGAAATCGCTTAATATGGTATTAGCAGCCTCGGGAAATTCTTTAATGTTTTCGAGAGCACATTCGTGTAAACATCGTATGGCTAAAAAGCTTGCTGGGGCTGTTCCATATGTCAATGTGTTTAAACGATAATGATTAAGAGGTTGAGTAGTGTCATAACGCCAAATAATACGTTGCATATCACGATGCGATTCTGTAACATCCACCATCCTATACATTTTCTCCACGTCTGCGATTATTACAATTTCATGCTTTCTAAATCGAGTGATGATACTAAATAAATCGTCTTGCAATTGAGGACCGACGAGTAAAATATCATTAAGAGATACACCGCTATTAGTTATGAATGATCCGTTGAAAACAACTCTGAGTTTGGTTGTTAAACTATCTTCTCGAACAACTCCGTGATGAGGTAAATAATAAATTAAATTGTCGTTATTTGGAAAAATATCCGATTCATCAATTTTTGTCATGTGATTGAGGGTTTCATATTCACGCATGAAATTATGATATTGACATTTTAAATCAGGATTTTTTTCTAATTTGCGCTCTAATGATAAAAATTTGTTTATTGCAGAATCGCGCGAGTTTCCTAATTCAGGTACTGGATCGACCATAGGTAACGCTACAACATAACGGCCTAATTCATTTATAGCGACAGTTTCTTTGAAAATACGTTCACATGTAATATGTTGTTTATTTGTTAAACGTGGCAAATCAATCTCCTCAACACGCCAAAAATTTTCTAGTTTGTTTTGAATTGATTGATTTGTTGCTAAATTGCAATACGAGACATTTCGATTTAAATTAGTAAACGCAATCGGACCTGAAACTAACCAACCGAATTTCGATTTTTGTAAGATAGGTTTATTAACACCTAATTTAATCTGTCCTACACATAAAAGATCATAGTAAATTTCGGCACCTATTAAAATATCTACCGAATTTGAGATATTAAAGTTAGGGTCAGCTAACGTGATATATTCGGGAATATCTAAATCAGTTGTATCGAATGAGAAAAGAGGAATATTTTTCGTTACCTCATTTATTACTAAAAATGAAACTTTTTTCTTGTAATTGCTAATATTTGATTTAATGAACGTGGTAGTTTTTATAGACGTATTAGAAGATGATTCATTTAAACCTAAAATTGTTGTGTTAATTTTCTCGTGGGGCAAATTTAATTTTTCAAACAGATTTTTTGACATAAAGGAACTCATTGAGCCTGAATCAAAAATTGCACGAGCCTTAACGAGGTGACCATGACAATCAAAAACATTTATGATTGCTGTCGATAATAATACGTGACAATCTTGACGAGAATGAAGACTTGTTTTATTATGCATTAACAATACTAAATTTTGCGCATCGGGCTCTGTTGTAACAGAAGCTATCGCATTTGAATTGGTGCTACTACTAGGTGCATTTGAATTTGTACTACTACTAGGTGTATTTGTACCGGTAATTTCTTGTACGTTCGCTGTGTTACCTTTATCTTGATTACTTTTTATTTGATTACCGTTGTTAATGTCATAGTGAAGAAGGGTATTGTGTCTTTTTTGGCACTTTTTGCATCCAGATGATTTACATGCATACGTTAAATGACCCTTTCTAAGACAATTTGTACATAAACCTAAGTTTTTTATTTCATTGTATCTAGATTTTACTGGTAGCATCTCAAAATTTTTGCAACCGTAAATGTAATGTGAACCTTTACAATAATAACATATGGGACCGGTTTGAGAGACGTGAGATAAAATGTTTTCCCGCTGTTTATCGTGAGCATGTGTATATAAATTTTTGAATGGAGGTTTATTGTTTGTTTCAACAGTTTCTAGAAAATGACACCTTTCTGTTAAAAACTGTATAAGATTATCAATTTTTATGTCTTTTAACTTTGAACACTCTTTGCTCCACTCTCTTTGCGAATTTCGATCTAATTTAGAATATATGAGATATAATAATAAAGTACTCCATTGTTCTGTTGGTTCACCTAGATTTTTTAATGCTCTGATGTGTTTATTATAATCGTCTAATAATTTTTGCGTATCTTGTAACGAATCCCTAGTGAGACTTTGCAACTCAAAAATGGCTTTGACGTGCGAGTGACATATGACTTTTTTATTCTCAAAACGTTCCTCTAACAATTTCCACGCTATATTGTAATTTGCTTCGGTAGCTTCTAATTCCGAAATTACTTTCAACGCTGCACCGGTTAAAGAGAGCTGTAAATAAAAGAATTTTTGCACTGCACTTATATTAGTGTTTCTGTTTACCAACGCATTGAACGAATCTTTGAATGAAAGCCATTGCCCATACTGACCATCGAATTTAGGTAAGTTAATGGAAGGCAATTGAACAAATGAATTTGTTGTATTATTAATAGAGGATTCTTTTACTGATATATTTTCGGACGAAATTATGTCCTTAGCACGTGAAGTTATATCAAAAAATGTGTTTTCAAAATGTTCTCTTTGCATCGATTGTTCTTCGGACTCTTCGATTAATTCGATTTGTGATTGAACGTTATCAAAATCTACCCATAGTAATTCTACTTTTTCTAAACGAGACACTAATTGAGAAATAGAAATGTTATCTGAAGCAAATTTATCTAAGAAAGTGGAAAATCGTGTTAACTGAGCTTTTATTTGCCCACGCCTGGTATTTAATGGTTTTAATTCCATTTCCATCTGTTCGTTTGACATTGTGATGGTTTGTTTGATGCGTAAATCGAGGAATAAGTATCGAGCAGCAATAAAATCGTGAAATTAAAGTATTAATCGAGTAAAAGTATTTTTATACCGAGAAATTGAGAAAATGATTATAACGTGACAAATCTTACGTGATATACGGCAATACAAGCACAATCAGCCAAACCAAGACCAAAAGCAAAATGGGCTAACTCACTGATTATCGAGTACTGCTTCTGTTCGCTAATTTTCTTCTATCCGGCTCGAAGGACCATGTTCTTTATTGTTTTGTGAGTGGACTGTATATTTGTTGGGTTTTTATCGAGTTCTTGTATTAAATAGTTCAAAATTCAAATTATCGAGACATTTATTATTTTTATTTATATTATTGACAGAAAGTGTTTCCTAGTTACATACAGCTTACTATTTTAATTAATAATTATTATATAGATTTTAAAACTAAGTAAACATTGGATTTTTTCGAAAACGGTAAGTTTTATCAAAAAAGTAGCTCTGACAAAAAATATAGATCTGAAAATTATCTACAAAAATGGTTTTCATTCCTGAAATATCGCGATTCTAAAAGTTGAAGGAGTCACGTTCTACATAATATGCACACATATGCCACGTATATACATAGTCAGGCACTTAATGCAAGTAAAAATGCCTATTTGTGTCTCTTGTATGTATAAACTATACTATTCTGAGAGTATACACTCAAAAGATACTCAGTCCCTTAGTCAAAATGAACAGATGTCCTTATAATTGAAACAGCAATAGAACAATTTAATGCAACAAATACAACTATTGTAGTTGGTGAAGATGTTGGCTTATTAATACTACTCACTGCAAGGACTCCAGTTGATAAAATTATATACTTTTTAAAACCTAGAAAGGCTCAACAGCGAACAGAAATATATTCTTCAAAAAGTTTACCTGCTTATCCAAAATGCCAAAACCATATCATATTTTTACATGCGATAACCGGCTGCGATACTACATCAGCAATGTTCAGAAGGGGTAAAACATCAGTATTAAAATTATTTGGAAAAAAATATTTGATTGATTGCAGAAATTGATTTTTCACCTCAAACAATAATCACAAAAGGAATTCTCTTTCTCCTTGCTGTTAAGGAGCTCCAAAAAAAATTGATTGTATAGATAAATATAGATATTTAACTTCTGTAAAAAATACACGAAACAAGAAACAAGTACAACTATCTTGTCTTCCTCTAACATCGGCTTCTGCTAATCAACACTTGTATCGAGTATACTATCAAGTTCAGACATGGCTAGGCAATCAACTAAACCCAGAAGACTGGGGTTGGAAATTAACAGTTAATACTTTGGAACTGATTCAAACTTTACTTCCACCTGCTCTGGAAAAACTCCTAAACTCTATTTTTTGCATTTGCAAAAAAGGTTGTAGTGCTAAATGTGGCTGTAGAAGAGTAGGGTTACTGTGTTCTCCAGCGTGTACCAAAGCCAGTCTTGCTCAAATGTCCAATTGAATACAACAGACGAAGATTAATGTGATTTCGATGAAGAGACAGCCGATTCATCTTCATTTGAACAATTTATGAACATCCAGCAAGAAGAAGAGGAAGGAGAAGAAGAAGACATGACTGTTGAAGTCGATTTTGAAGAGTATGAATCCAATTAAAATATCAAAAGAAATCAGAACTACAGTTAAAGTCAATAACCAATATCAATATCAATAATCATCATACAGTTAAAAGAGTATTGTCTCTGAAAATTCCGTCATAACAGTTCGTGGAGTAGGCCTACCGGGGAAACCACGTTAAAAAAAAACGCGTCAAAGTATACTACCTCACAGGTAGGTGGTGTGGATATGTGTGCATATCATGTAGAACGTGACTCCTTCAACTTTTAGAATCACGATATCTCAGGAATGGTGGTTCTTAGAAAAAAAAGTATATGGACCATATTTGTAGATAATTTTTAGATCTATAATTTTTGTCAGGGCTACATTTTTGATAAAACTTACCGTTTTCGAAAAAAATCCAAAAAACCTCAAATTTTGACCTTTGACCCCGAATAACTTTTTTAGCACATATGGGATCGAAGGAGACTTTTGACACTTTATTTCTAATGGTGTACCCAAAGTCTCCACCAAAATTTAGCTCTGTCGGAATTTTCGTTATTTGAAATGTCTATTTTGACCAGGCTATAAATAATAGACGCATTAAACGTAAGCAAAACTTTATTTAACATACAACAATGAACGATATTTTATAATAAATATATAAAAAGTAAGAATAACTGGATAAAAATATACTTACAAGGTATTTCGAAAATATGGTTCAGGATTTTAAAAAGTTTTTCGCTAAAAATTACGTTTCCACGACAGTATTTAAAATTACATCAACATAAAGTCTTTTTACAACAACATTTATATACTCCCAAAGCCATAAAGTCGATACTAATTAATACTCTGTACAGGAAGACTTGTTTATATCCAAGTCACTTGAAATAGTAAGTACTCAACAGACAAATAAATATTTAATACACTTAATATCACAGATCCAATCACAGCGCCGTCGCACCAATAAGGGCGTAAGGGACAACCAATGTAGCAGCACTCATCCAAATCAAGCAGCGCAATCGTAAGGTACAAAGCCCGCAGACAGCTCGCTTGACGTAACAAGAGCATGGACAGATTCAAAACTATGAAAACAAAAGAGAAACAAGGACCGCCAACTTGATTCTGATCGCGATAGCCGTGCATGGTGGCGTACCATTTCCCGTCAAGGGTTCGCCACCAGAGGGCGCCTCGTCATCTTGCTTTGGCATGGAATGTTTGTCACAGACCCCATCGGCTAGTCACTTGGGTATGTTTGTGTCCGCTTGGCACATACACGATATGTGATCGGTGGCGGTGACGTTCTTGAATTTTATTGGTTTGCCATTAGTTTCAATGGCGAAGATGAGGTGACGGTTTTCTGTTTTCGAAGGTAGGCAGCTGAGCTTTCCCCGACAAGATCCTGCCGAGAAGCACCTTTGCAGGACGGTCCTACGAGGTATGACCTGAAAATAACTGGGTTTTATGGTTGTTTCAAATTTATTATAATCTATTTGGTGTTTCCGTCATAAGCATTTTTAGTAATTAGTGCCTTAAATGTAGCTTCCCATTGCCTGTAATACAACCAGAATAATGAACATGAAATTACTGTAATTATTTAAATACTATACACGTGCCTTTAGTGACGTCACACTCTTAAATCGTCATAGAATCTGCCTACGCGCGTATGCTCTAGCACAACAACGCAACGCAGTGATGCCAAATTGTATTTCTTTTAATCAAATAAATGAGTCCTGTCTGCCGGACCACCCGAAATTAGCTTGGTAAGATGTATCAATGCACTGTCAGCGTTGCCAGTTGTTACCTTTTCAAATCAACTGTTATGTGTCAACGCTTTTTTGTGTGTCAGTGTGGAAAAACATTCCAGTGTTTTTAAGGAAATACATTTCTTTACACGATTTTACAATATAGAAAATTTGGGCAAGGCAAGTTCGAAAATTAAAATCGAGGAATTGAAAATTAAAGCACGCATGACCTCATAGAATCAATTAAAATGTTTTATATCTTTAACGAACCGAGCAAGACTATAATATTGCGTGTAGTATTCAGTTAACGTTAAAAAAAATGTATTCTATTGAGCGATGCAACCTTGACCCCCGGAATGTAGTATCAACATTAATGAATTGACATCTTAATAATAACGTGCTGGGAATATATAATCGCTCTTCAATGAGTTCAGTTTTGTTAACCACAAATTATGTATACCAACGCGTTGAAATTTTCCCACAGAGAACTCTTATTGGTAAAACGCAAGCCTTGAAAATTTCCCCGACATAGGGTGTACCTCACTCAACTGTTTTCAACTTAAAACAAACAATAGTAGTTTTTTATTAATTTTGAACAGCCCACATCTCGAAAAGACGGCTTTCGGGGTGCCTTTTTCGTTGTCGAATCAGCTGTATGTGGTCAAGTATTTCAGTTACATCCTGTTTAATAGAAAAATGTTGCCACGTAGCCTGTAGAACTCCAAATTTTACCTACTTTTCAAAAATTATTCACAAAATGTTTGACGCTTTTACAATTATAAAATAATAAGTGAAATAATTTATTGTGGCAATTATTTATAATTTACCCTATTTTGAATAATATACAGGGTGTCTCACGGTGACGTGACGGCCCATTAGAATTATTTCAGAGACTACTTCGATTTGAATTTTGAAAATTTGGGATACCGGGTTTTCGGGCATGCCCTTATCAACTAAAATAATAGCGTCCACGTACCACTTCCGGTTATGCCGGAAGTCGTCATCATGGAATACCCTATATATTATTGCAGTTTTGGATTCTACGTGTTAATTTAGGTAGACTTTTATGAAGTTTCCCTATTCCTAAAATTAACCGTTTTCGAGATATTTAATTTTTTTTCGAAAAAATGGAGCGAAACAGTGACTACCTTCAAACCATGTGTATTTTATAGTAAGAAAGATAAAGCAACAATATTTATAGGGGGGATAGCTAGACCCCTAAGCTTCCCATCCATACTTTCAAAATGGCTTAATTGCATACAGGGTGCTAGAAATTTAATGCCGAGTTTAGTTAACTTCAAACCTTCATAAGTCGGTTTTTTAAATGGAACACCCTGTATGTTTTTCTATATTCTGATACACAATCTTATTCTCTTTTAGGGTTCCCTATACCTATCTCTTCTAGTTTTTAAGTTATCCCTAACCTAATATTATACAATTTCTAGTGAGGATAGCTGTGAAGTTTTTATAAATATTGTTGCTTTATCTTTCTTACTATAAAATACACAAGGTTTGAAGCTAGTCACTGTTTCTCTCCATTTTTTTTGAAAAAAATTAAATATGTATCTCGAAAACGGTTAATTTTAGAAATATGGAAACTTCATAAAAGTCCACCTAAAATAATACGTATAATCCAAAATTGCAATAATATACAGGGTGTTCCATTTAAAATAAGCAAGTTGATGGCGACTTCCGGTATAACCGGAAGTGGTACGTGGACGCCATTATTTTAGTTTGAGAAGGGCATGCCCGAAAACCCGGTATCCCAAATTTTCAAAATTCAAATCGAAGTAGTCTCTGAAATAATAATTCTAATGGGCCGTCACTGAGAGACACCATGTATGTTTATCTTCTCCGAAAAAAAACCATTAAATAACAACAAAGATTATCACACTTTGGCTTCACTTTCGAACGATTTACTGACTTAATTATCGACTTGTTATTATGAAAAAAAACTTGAACTTGATATTTTGAGGCAAACATGGCTATCAACCGATAAAATATTGCTTGGGAGGTGGCAAGCGTTTTCCGCTATTCCATTTTGATGTTAATAGAATTTATCATTTATTGATACACTTTGTAATGGGAACATGATCAACGGTTGATATACAGGATGATTCAGCAATAATGTCATTAATTTTAATCCCGTGTTAGGAAGGCCTAACAAAAGCAGAAAATTGAAAAAGAAATTACTTTTAAACCTTGTAAAACCACAGAGTGTCCGAACAATGAAGCGAAACAGCTGATTTCCCCAGTCGTCTTGCAATCATTATTCTAATACAAATGTATTTATTAACAAATAAATAAAACTTAGTATTGAAAATATAAAAAAATATCTTTTGCCGTTCACTATTAAAGACACCGTAAAAGCTAGGTTAATGACCGTACAGTATGGTAGGTCAAGATTCACTCTCGATGTAGGTCAGCGGTCAGGAGCGTCCGCAAAGTGGTTTATATAATAATTTGAAAATATATGCGTAAACATGCATTTTAAAATTCATTTAATCGCGTATTTGTGCTCTACTCATTTTCCCTATCTCCTCTTAAAGTTATTGACATTACGACTTAATCATCCTGTATAGTAGCCACATGCACAAATATAATTTAGCCAATTTCTTGTTCGATTTATTGAATACAAATTTGGAAATTGTAAAGAAGGTTTAATTGTTAAGTACTTACATAACTTACCCAATAAATTGATCAAGATATTGTCCAATTGTTAGCGGCTTGTTATGGGCATCTAATCGGAATGGACAGCGGCAATATTGTCAAGACACTAATAACAGAGAACAGCTAGAAGACGAAAGAAAATCATGGAGAAAAAATAGAGGAAACAGGTGTAAAGGAAACACGTTACAGGAATTGAGGAAGCTCGCAAAGGAAGGAGATGGGTTAGAGATTAGAAGAAATAAACTTCCTACATCCATCCAAACAGGGGTGTCCATATGAAAATAACTCAGGAAACACTCTGATTATTCAATAATATCAATTTTTGTTGCTCTAAACAATTTTGACACAAAGGTATATGTGTGTTCATTATTCTAGTTGCATCTATTATGGGTTTGTAGTTTACTGTTATCGTAATTAATTGGCAATCTTGAAATTGGGCTCATAAATTGCCCTAATTATAAAAAAAATGTTTAAAGCGACACCGCAAATATACAAATTCTTAACCTATTTCATGAACAATAACAGATACATGTAAAACAGGTTTTACATTTGTAGGCCAATGTAAGCTATAGTTTAAAAGTAATAGTAACATGTTTACTTACTAAACAATGTGGTAAAGTTTTAAAACTCATTGTTTTACATGTGCTTACAATTGGAATCACACAATGGAACTAAATTTGCAATACTCTTGTCCCAGTCAAAACATGAACTTACATTAACGTCCTCGACGTCGACCTCGGCCCAAGTGTCGTTGTCCACGAGCTCCTTGAAGTCCACCGTCCGCTTCTGGGGCTTCTCGCAAGGAAATGCGACGTGGGACACCCGGTGCTGGTGGTTAATCCACTCCTTCTTCATCATCTCATTCTCGTCGCAGAAAATGAAACCGACAGAGAAAACGAACACGAGCCACGACAGAACCGCGAAACGATACATACTCGCCAATAACTCAAGCCCGACTGGATGATGCTGTGCAACTTTCTCTGCGGTAGAAGGACGCGCAATTGCCGATTTTTTAATGAGAATCCGCGGTGGGACTGACTGATTTTATAAATAAGATAGCGCGTCTGGTGACTAACGCGAGACTACCACTGCCTGTTGGAACGGTGAACATACACGATAGTTCACACTTGCGGAAACAATACTTTTAGCCACTCTAAAGCTAACGCCTTAGACGCTTTTACAGGGTGCAACTATACAGCAATCATTGGGCGGCGTAAACCGGGGCACGCTCAATTAGCGTATTAGCGTGGTAAGTTGTATCAGTGCATTGTTAACGTTGCCGGTTGTTACCTTTTTAAATCAACTGCTGGAGAGGGTCAATGGAAAACAATTTAGTTAATTGTATTGTGTTTAGCGACGTGTTATTTTAAAATCATCATGTTTTTTTACATAATATACCATAGAAATAACCGTCATGCGAAAAAACGACTGTACTGTTTCGATGTGTTTCCATATTTCGTATTAGTTTCTTATTGTCCTGAGAAAATTGCACTAAGAAATTGAACGATGATACTAGACGCTTGTGGGCTTGTGTATGGACAGCTCTAGCATTGTTGCGAGAATAACTGCAATATTATTGTTTCATAACTGCCGGCAATTATGAATTGCCAAAGTATTGGTATCAGTTCTTCAACCCCAAGGCATCATTTATTACATTGACCACTGTACAGGCTGTCCCACTAAGGTCGGCGAGGTACGATATTAGAGAAAGTATAGACCCCCGGGAAAAAAATTTGATTAATAAACCTACCAAGAGAAATCACTGGAAATAGTTTTCAAGTTCATAGCTCGGCCGCAAGGGGGCGCAATCTATGTTACATACCAAAACGGAGTTGAATATTCCTCACAAATGTTTCCTATTCAGGTACATATATTAAATAGTATAAATATGGCTAGCCGGATTCATTGCGCATAACTTTTGTCACTGGCATTTTATTCTATCTCTCGACAGAAAGGGTGGGGGAAGCCCCTAATGTCTGATCAGAAAAATGCATTTGTTTAAGGATTAGCTCATTAAAAGCCCATAGTGTTATACCTCGATGGAAAGGTCTTTTCATGCTTTATCTCGTGGTGAATGTGTAATGTTATTTACCTCAATATGGAAACCTATAGATGGCGTTATTTCAGAAGAATGCCGTCTTATGGATTTTTTTCAAAAATTTTAAATGCAATGCTATAATTTTCTTTGCATAAATGAATTCGGCACAAAAAATTGATAAGTAAGTTTAAAATTTCAAACAAAAGTGTTGTTTAAATGGTATAGCCTATTTAGTTATTTATTGGCGCTATTTATCCAAGTTTAGGTTGTTTCACGTTTTCTTAAAAAAGTCAAATAGCAGGATAATTCTTACTTTTGTTACAATTTAATTGTTCTTTCGTTACGTAATATCAATATCTGTTTATTGTTTTTGCTATTATTTTTAAGATTGTTATTGACTCACCATTTACGTGGGTTTAGGTAGGTTCCTTTATAAAAGCATTTTATTTTGGTAATTAAATGTCTTTTCGTTAGCGTCGTGTTCCTCAATTCATTATCAATTATTTATTTTTTTGCTCACTAATTTGCGAAAAAAAAAGGATATCGAACCCTTTTTGGCGTCAAAATGTATCTATTTTTATGGTCCTCAAAGTAACCTATAAAAAGTTTTATCCTACTATTTCACTTTTTTAAGAAAACGTGAAACAACCTAAACTTGGATAAATAGCACCAATAAATAAAAACACTTTCGTTAGAAATTTCAAACTTATACTATATTCATCAATTTTTTCTACTGAATTCATTTATGAAAAGAAAACTATAGCATTGCATTTAAAATTTTTGAGATAAATCCATAAGACGGCATTCTTCTGAAATAACGCCAACTATAGGTTTCCATATTGAGGTAAATAACATTACACATTCACCACAAGATAAAGCATGAAAAGACCTTTCCAACGAGGTACAACACTATGGGCTTTTGATGAGCTAATCCTTAAAAAAATACATTTTTCTGATCAGCGATTTCTTTTGGGCGATTTATCGGATAATTTTTTTTTCCGGGAGCTCTACAGCCTAATATCGTTCCTCGCCGACTTTAGTGGGACACCCTGTACATGAATGTGAAGTCGGTTTGGCGCTAGGACTCGTCATTTTCAAGAGAATGCCCCCAAAATGATCAAAAATGGGTTATTTGCGAATGTGCTTAAGGATTGCAGTCATTTCCGCTACTAGGATTTTATAACTGTGACTAAGAAAAAAGAGTCCGAAGGAGCATATTTCCGTGAACTTGTTTCAAAAGGAAGACATGGTTCATTCGGATAGAAAATGAGTTCTTGCATTGTATGACATTGTATTTAATTCTAAACAGCTTATTGTTTCTCTTAGAATTAATTGAGAAATCATCCCCTATATTATTTATTAGTGTGTATATAATATCCAAAATAGTTCTTTGACTGATAATTCTAAAATATTTTTACTATAATAATATCCAAGTAAACCAAGAACCAAGTTATTTGCATAAGTTGGTGGGATGACAATTATTTTCTTTGTAGACACGTAAATGTGGATACGCGAAACCATCTCAAAGACCTTAATAAAATTGGGTAAAGCAGTGGCAATGACCCTTTAGTTTTCCAAGAACTGGGAAAATGCAACTCTATGAATCCGCATATTTCCATTCGTGCGTTTATAAATTTTACATAAAATGTGTAGAGCACCTACACTGGTTCAATGGCTTACGTTGTTCTAGAAATCATTACAGGTAACGATAACACTGGTGTTCATTCATTGAATATGTTTTTGCGAAAGTTGAACAGCATATATCTCAAATTATGTTCTAACCGTAACAATAAGTGGCAAAGTCCGATAGAGATGAGACGGTATTTCAAAACAGATTAAATAAAATACATATCTGTTAGAAATCTGCACGAAGTTTTCAGTCTGTGAAGTTTAGTTTAAATCTTACAGTGAGGATTTAAAAAATCCGTCGTTTGAACCATGTTTAATACGGCAAGTCTAATTTTACAATTTTCAATATTGCTTTTGATAAGACAAAGAATTTTATTTGTTACCAAGAATGTACATTTCATTTGTAAAAATAGTCAAAGGAAAAAAGTTCCGTTTTGAGATTCTCTACAGAATAAAAGAGGTCCGAAATTTTTATGTGCATTATTGTTGCTACAATACAGTATAGACTGAAAAAAAATTCGCGGAAAAAAAGTTTTTTTCATGAATTTATTTCGGAGCTTGACTTTAGAACAGCCATAAAAAGTATAGTTCTGAATACTTCATGATATGGTAGTATTGCAGAAAGTTTTTCATCGAAATCGGCCGGGTAGATTTCGCACAATTCAATTGTTAATTAAGAAAATGCAGAAATATACTTATTTTTCGATTCTCTCTCACGGTAAAACCATTGATTATTTTGAGCTCCCAATTTTTATACATACCCTTTGGAGTCTCAACTATCAATCCCCATTTAAAAATTTTCGATTTTATCCATTTTAGCAACAATTTTTTCAGAATTTCTTCGAGGAAATACTTATAATCATTTAGAGCTGGAGCTACCGTATTTGCTCTTGTGGATACGATGAATTGTCATCGAGATATGAAAGGTCAAAGTTGAAGCAAGTTTACGGCAAAACAACGTACTTTAAAATAAAAATCATAATACATATTACAAGTACAAGATCCCGACTTAGGTCGACCTTTACCGATCGAGTTTTCTAATGAAATTTGAATTTTGATAATATAATGTATTAATAAACAAAAATTGATTAGGTCGACATCTAATTTCCCTGCACAGCTATTTTTAATAAAAAAATTAAAGCTGTAAATTTTTTTTCATGAATGTAGTTATTGAGTTTTTGGATTTTATTACCAATCGAAAGATACAATATGCCAATGTTTGGTAGACATTTTTGTTCCTTGCATAAAGCCAGGTAGACAGGTATAAACAGTTAACTCTGAATTGAACTTTAATTTTGAATTGAATTGAATTTTGAATAGAAGTGAATTGAATTTTGAATTGAATTGAATTTTGAATTGAATTGAACTTTAAATATATAATAATAAAATATATTTTAACCGTTCTGTTGCAAAAAAGATTGATACATTTCACAGGAATTGAGCAGAGTCAAAGAGTGTGGAGTGGGGGAACTATGCGAGCGGAGCAGCATAACTCACTCGCGCAACTTGATGACGCCTCCAGATCAAAATCCGCCCAATCTTCTTCAGTCAATTGAACTTTGTGAGCATGAAGGTGCAAATCTTTCGAGAGAGCTTCTCGAAATGCCCAATTCTTGACCACAGTGCCGAATTGACGTTCCTGTATTCTCAGCAACACTCTCACGAACTACTTCAATGTTTTGTGTTGAACGATTTGTTGAAGGACGGCCACTGTGTTTAAGACCACTAATTGTTCTAGTCTCCTCTAATTTTTCAATTAATCTCTTCACAGTCAATGAAGTAAAATGACGATTCCGACCACATTTTGTAGGAAAATTGCCGCCAAACTATCATTATATCCTAATTAGCGAGTTCTGAAAGAAATACAACAACACAGAACACCATTTAACACCATCCACGGTTTTTTTTTTCGTTGACAACACTTTACCGTACAAATGGCGCAAAATTCAAATCTTGCGTGAATTTTGGGACACCCGATACAATAATGTCACACTTATGTTAGTATGTGTTACCTCTGGGCAGTAATGAATAAGCAATGTACTTGAGCCAGCGACGTTTATCAGCTTGGTGCAACTGCAAGGGTTGCACAGTAAGCATTTAAGCGGGATTGATAACTTGCGCTACGCAGCTTCACCCAAAGGAAAAGTCAACAAGTTCCAGTACAATTTAGACGAAAGAATGTGCCGTTTTTTGTTCTTCTGTCAGCTGTTACTCGTAGTCGGTGTAATTTATTGCCAAGACTCGGAACTGAAGCAGTGGAGATCACATTATGCCCGAGTTAGAAAGTTTCCTTGTTTTGTTCCGCAAAATAGGACAATAGATTTACCAGC